AAAACAGTGCCTTATGTATTTGTCCCAACGGCGTTTACACCCAATGGTGACGGGTTGAATGATGTGATCAGGCCCATTGCGGTTGGAATAAAAAAGATCAATTATTTCAGCATTTATAATCGCTGGGGTCAATTGTTGTTTAAGACATCGATCAATGGTCATGGCTGGGACGGCAATATTCGCGGCGTACCGCAGGGCAGTAATGTTTTTGTCTGGATGGTAAGTGCGGTGGACTACCTGGATAAACCGTTGTTTTTGAAGGGAACGGTGACGTTGATTAGGTAGAACTAATTCTGCAAAATGTAAATTCCAAAATTATCTATCGTTTAAAATACAAGCAATCGAAGTATTTTTCTATTTCGTCAGGAATGAAGTGTGGATGTTCCAAGAGTGATCGGGGCATTTATTCATAAGAAATTGAAACTCAAATTATACCTCCTTCTATAGTAATAAAAAAATTCTGCGCCAAAGGATAATAGCCATAAATACTTGTACCTTTAAAGCAATAAGACTCGCCACGCTTCTCGTAAGATCAGCGCACCCGGGCGGGTTTTCGCTTTATACGGTATATTGCCAATTAAACCTTCCTCGTGAGATTCACAAAGCCACCCTTGTCAATCGCTGATCAAATAATCCGTTTAAAGCAAAGAGGATTAAGAATATCAGACGAAAAATTTGCAGAGTCCTACTTGTCACACGTTAGCTACTATAGGTTACGAGCATATACATATCCATTCCAGAACAATAATGACGACAAACATCAATTCATTGTACCAATTTCTTTTGAAGATATTGTTGCATTATATGCCTTTGACCAAAAACTAAGGGCGTTCGCATTCGAAGCATTGGAAAGAATTGAAATTGCTTTGAGAACACGGATTATTTACCAATGGGCAATAAAACATGGCAGCCACTGGCACGTAGACCCAAGTCTTTACCGTGATCCACTTAGATTCTCTCACCATATTGACTCCCTACAAAAAGAAATACTTAGAAGTGACGAAACCTTTATAAAACATTACAAAGATAATTACACAAGTCCAGTCACTCCGCCGTCTTGGATGAGTTTAGAAGTTAGCAGCTTTGGTTTGCTATCACAGTTGTTTCATAACTTAAAAAAAAGCCAAGAAAAAAAGGAAGTAACCAAATATTTTGGGCTTTCGGATTCAAGTATATTGGAGAACTGGATGTACTGTTTTAGCAATTTACGAAACAATTGTGCACATCATTGTAGGTTATGGAACAGGAGGTTTACCGCCCACATAAAAATTCCATATAACACAGTCAACCCGTTTTTAAGAAGCAAAGGTCTCTACCCCTATAAATTATATGCTATTTTCGCTTGTATGCAATACATATTGAACATAATAAATCCAGAAAACACCTTTAAACAAAAGCTAAAAAAGCTGATAAACGACTACCCACTTAAACAAGGCAAAGAGATGGGATTTATCAAGAATTGGGAAAATGAGCAATTCTGGATTTAGCCAGCTTCGTTACTATTAGCGCGATAAAACTAATTCAAACAGCATCCTAAAGCCTTTCATTTAGTCGCCAAAATATCGTATATTCATACACCAGTCCTTGCATATGAAAATTCCTGCTGACGTTCACAACCGACTTTAGTTTTTTCCCGTTTATTATCATATGCGCCTGTTGGGCGGATCAATGAAACGTATTGTTGTATTCATATCATCATTGCTTATTTCCCATGCTCTGCTGGCTAATCATATTA